TTTTGTGAGACAAACTCCATGTACCAATGGAGAACACAGTCCTACTGGCATCTTAATTTGTTTAACCTTTAACCAGTGACACGTAGTCTCACAGGCGTCTCATGTTTTTCAAATTCTTAGAATTGACCACTTCCCCTCGCGTGCAGCGACCCAGCGTCTTAGTAGCTTTTGTTTTAGTGCTAAAACGACCACAGAAGAAGGCAGACGTGTTATCGGTTGTTTTGCACGTAAGTTATACGTATTAGAAAATCCGNATAATAATCAGTTAATATCCAAACTAGCTGGCTACAAACCCATCTCTAATCGTGACCTATGGAGTGTTACAGTCATTGATATTGTATCTATGTATAGACACCACCACAGTCGGACAATAATAACAAATAAAAATTGCATTATGGGAGAGTAAAATACTTCTAATCTATGGCATCATACATTTACCAATTGTGTTTTAAGTCATTGAATAAATTAAAATGTTTAATTTTCAGATTATACTTACAAATGAATGCCCAAGAGTACGCCCAGCAAGACTTTAAGTTGATGACAACATTCCCAAAGAAGATCTTCACTTCTGAGGATTATGAAAAACCTCTTGAATCGTTGGGTTAGTTTAGCATTATTGTAACAAAATTCTCAGAAGAAAAACTTAAGTATTTGTGGATTATTCCAAAGCATTCGACAGTATAGAGAATTTAAATACATTTTAGGTACATAAATAAAAAAGTTAATATGTTACGGTCAAAGTGATAAATGTGAAAATTATGAATAATCGCCGGTTATTATGAATAATTACTGCATGATTTGGTAAATGTGATTAATATGAGGTCATTTATGTGTGTATAAAACTAAATAGGCGGGCGGGGGTGGCCCTTGGGCCCTTAACCTATTTTTCACTTTAAATCAAAACATTATGTTATAGGCATCATAGAAAAGTAATATTATGCAAGAAACATTCCAAACTCATTATGCCAAATTATATTAATATATGATATCAAAACGTTCAAAAGTTTGGCTGTACACGAGCACGTACACAAGATGTTGTTCTCTTTTATGAAATTTGCTAGTACTAAGGTTGAATTATTAAATAATAACTGTTAAATGTGATTAATTTATCACTTTCACCGCGACTGTCGGTAATTATTCATAATAACCGGTTATTATTAATAATTTTCAATTTATCACATTAACCGTAACAAATATACCAATCCGTATTGCCAATTTATCCCGCTAGGTGGCATCGTCGGCCCGGTTACGATCACCTTCACCATACCACAATCTGCAATAATCTTTGCCTGTGGAAACCCATTGACAAAATTGCCATGTATTTTTATTGATTAAAGGATTCACTTATATCTCAATTGCTGTACATTTTTTATGAGAAAACTGTTCTGCTCCCATAATCATTTAATTTTATTAATTTTGGTAAACTACTTTTCTGGAGAGAAAAATCGCCTTTGTTCTTCCAACAGGCCCCAGTGTTCAGTTTTAGTAGGTAGTTTGTTTATAATATTAATTAAGTTTGAATTTCTTTTCAGGTTTGGTTCCATCAGCAGTAATTATTGTGTCGAAGGGCCAATAGCCTTAATTTTAAGTTAATTATACCCGTGACGGGCTGGGATTTTATTATTCGTGTTGGCATATGGCACAAAGTTAAAATTAATGTAATATTTGAAGACTCATTAAAAATAAAATTTGCGTATGGTAACATGTTCTTTTATTTATAATTTACTAGCCTTTGCCCGCGGCTTCACTTCACACGCGTGAAATTTTGCTTGTCACAAATCGTTATAAATTATATGCCTATATGTTATTCTGGGTTATAAACAATAATACTGTAAAGTTTCATCAAAATTCGTTCAGTAGTTTTTGCGTGAAAGAGTAACAAACATCCAGACATCCAAACTTTCGCATTTATAATAATATATGTATGTAAAGAATACTGCCTATAATTTAAATAACTTGCTAAGAATTCTTGAGGCAGATAATATTTAAACACAAAAATAATTTTCAATCTTTATTGCAAGCACTAAATTAAGTACACAGTATAAAAACAGTCAAGTATAAAATACTAGTGTGCTAAAGTGTTTATTTACTATCAAACTGCACACTGCACAGCACAGTCTGGACGTATATTTTCTTAACACTAGGTACACAATAAATTGTGTTGAAAAAACGTTATTTGAATTTCCAAATTAAAAAATGCATGCAAAAATAGGCATGTTATGCAAAATCGACACTAAAATATAATAGAAAAAAATGCATTAATGTAATTTACAGTAACATTTTATTATTGAAAGTATTCAGCAAATAATGAGTTGCATCCACTTCATGGAANCCGCCCAGGGTGCCAAGCATCAGGGGGTGACAACGGAGTGACAACTCAGTCGCGGAAGATTAGTGCCCACAGGTGCATCTGCATGACAAGGACGTCGCGCATCTGATATGTCATGATAAGGGGGTGCATGCGATTGGTATCATCTCATCATAATAATATAGCTCATGAATGTCCCTTATAGTGTTATAAAATAGTCATGTCACTGGTTAAAGGTTAAGGACGGCACTAATAAACTCTTATTCTAATATTATGGCAATTTTTTTTTTATTATTTGAGCATTTTTTTAAGTGCTATTATAATAGCTAAGAACTTTTGTATGGGTCCTGAAAACTCCTGTAACTATGAGTCACCATGGTGGAAGATTGGATTGGATTTGGCACAGTATTTGATGCTGCGTTATAACTTGTAGTATACAGGAAAATATTTTTATTATTTATGTGCAAGACTCAGGCAGGTATTGTATATGACTAGTAGAGGATAGCCTTTTGTGTGGTAGGTAATTATAATTATCAAATAAATTATTATTTCAACTAAATTACTTCGCTTATCAAATTATTTATAACGCAAATGATAAGTGGTGTTTGAATAACAAGCTGTGCTAACAAAATACTGTTATAACCTAAATTAGGGCTTGTACCATCAATTATATATTTTTCAATCAAGAGAATTGGTTTAGAAATTCAAATTCAATTACATATTATAACAAACAATAATTAAAGAAACTACTCAATATATTAATTTAATCATGTAGTATTTCATGAATTTATCCTACCATCATGTAAATATTTACTACATACTGACAATTATTTGTTTCTCGTGTATTGCCCAGCATTTCAAACGAAAAACTTATGTATTACATAGTTGTAATAAGGATGTTTTTGAAATAGAAATGTAGTATGTGCTGTTATCAGCTGTACAAAATATTTATTGTTCACTGGCAATTAAAATCAATTTGCATTCACTTCAAATATATTTACTTGAAGTATTTTACAGTGTTAGCCACTGGACCCAAGATACTAATTTGTATAACTGTACGTAAATCCTCTTTTGTGGCCATTTATTGTGTGGATACAATATACCCTCAGCTGGATTACAATTACTTATAATGTTGCCATAGCCTTCAACATCTATATTGCGGTCGATGCCATCACAGTCGTGTAACGTAAGGTTTTTGTCAAAGCAGACGCGAATCTCCACCAAGTAAGTTTTACCGTCTTCATGTCTGCATTGAATAGAAGGGTTAACTCCCAAACTTACAACCAAAACATTATGGATGGCTGTAAGAGTGTATAGTTTTTCATCATCTGGTATGATACCAGAATTTGCTAAAATAGTGGACATGCTGTATGTTTCACCCCAAGAGAGGCCTTGAGAGAAGTACTTGAGTTCTGAGTTCAGTGGCTCTAGAACGGCAGCGCATGTGCCGTGTTTGTTCCATTCATGGGCCCAAAGTGAGTACTCTCCAGTATCTGTGAAATGAAAAGACAATGGTTTTGAACGTTAATTTCATATTGTATTGATAATAATTAACATCAATTTGGAAAATCACACTAAAATTACATTCAGCTAGTACTAAACTTGTTGTAGAAAGTACTTACTGCCTTCTATGTTAGTCCACTTCTCTAATAGCTGTGTCTCAATAGGCTTGACCTGTTCAGGGTCAAAGAGCCATGTACGGTTGCAGAAACCAGGTCCTTTCGTCCCGAACTTGGTCGGCCAGACACCGTGGATACTCCAGGAGTCCGGTTGTTTAGGCATTACGCAAGAGTGAGACGGCTTATTATGAATCCACTCTTTGCAAACAGTCTCTGGCCATTGCTGCGTAAATATCAAGATATCCCAGTCCTGTTCATTGTTATGATGATACCCTTGCGTCAGTCGAGCATTTTCAACACTGGAAAGATATAATAAATAGATAAAACCACTCTCTGGAGAGTAATTTAGGAAACATTTTAAACTCACCTCACGTAGAGAACTACGAAGACGAAAAGTATCCAATTCATGGCTATGTTTCTGATCAGTCCTGTTTGATCTTAACGCAAATTATTTCTCGTTCTCTTCAAACGCTAATAACAAGGACAATACCAATCAAATTCAAAACACTGAAACGAAAATAAAATAGCCAGCCTGCAGCTGACGCGACTTGAGTCACTGACAGCAGTGACAACAAATGACAAACAACTGACAGTTATTATGACAGCGGACTGGATATATATTTTTTTGTAAGTTTCATGGCTTTAGTTGGAGTCTTTATGCCACAAACAATGATTTTGTTTATTGAACGTGCAAATTATTATTATTAATAATTAAATAACAAATAATGAATTGATGATAGGTGCTACGAATTTCTTATGGTTAGTTTTCAAATCTATTCAAAAATTGTACAATTACTGCTGAGTCACGTGACTCCAACAGAAATTAGCAATTTATTCGAGAGATGTCGCTCTACTGCTTTATTTAGAGTCATTCTTCTGTTCAAGTATTTTAGCTGGCGTTTACTTTATGCTTTTTAACCGACTTCAAAAAAGAAGGACGTTATAAATGTTCGACTGTATGTATGTTTTTTTTCTATGTATGTTCTTGATAATGGACTAATCAAGCGTAGCGAGTTCGGTCAGGATCAGGAGTCCCGGGTTTGATTCGTATTAATTTCTACTATTCAAGTAGCCAATACTAATAGTAGGTAGTTGTGGTGATCCACCACAAGTTCCTGTGGGTAAATATTACTGTAATGGGCATGGTCTTAGACCATAATTATTAGTAGGTAACATAATCGATGAGTACCTACCTACATTATAGGTGTTGCATTCTTGCATTAGCAGACAAACCGTAGATTTGACTCAGAGAGGTGACAGTTTGTACTTTGTACTCCATTTTAAAACATGGGCCTAGTGCGAATCAGCGGAGAGTGTATACAGTATGCGCTCACTAGGAGGCGCAAATCATAATTTTCTGTGAGATGATTAACAATAATATGATTGTGTATGAAAAATACTTCGGACAAGGACTTATTTCACAGATACTAACACCCATATTCACAAACATTACAACGAGGTCTCACAGTGCGCGTGGACGCACAGGGTGACACACGAACCAATCACAGAGCTTTATTCAACTCTGTGCGTTCGATTTTCTGCTTCACTTAAGCAAGCATCGTTTTTGAATACGGGCGTAAGATTGCAACACATTAATCTGACTGGTCACCCATCCTTTGACGAAACGCGGCAAGGGCTGCTTAGCTTAACAACTTTGATAGCTACCCCAGGGCTAATCTACAAGCACCTCTACTGCTTCTACAACTGGCTGCACCTCTACTTAATACTGCTTCTATAAACGGCTTACTCAAAATCCAGGCAGAGACAATACAATAGATCTAAAGCAGATTGGAGAACAGCAGATTTCCAAAGGTCTTCGGATGGCTACGAGGACACCGACCCCCCTTTTTTCCGGCTAATGTAACCTCATTCCGCGTTTTTCTCCGTCACCGGTCCGATGCGCCGGCGAAAAAAGCAATAGCGTGCGTCACGAACGCTGCGCGTGGGCACAACAATAATTACGTCCAGATGCAATATGGGTCCAGCAATTATCACCACTAATGGGAGGAGTATTCTGCTTACCCGTAGGGCGCGAAAAAAGGTGGCATTAATGCAACTGCCGGTGGCGCTTTGCAATTGTTTATTGGCATTCTGCCAGGTGCATGCTATATGAATAAAAATGTGTGTGTCTGTTTGTTTGGTTTTAGATCCTGGGTCTTTTTTTTATAACGAGCAATCTAAATAGATTAATTTAAATTAATAAATGTAGAGCCGAATATTTTCAAATTAAATAAAAAGTAGGTTAATGACTTCTTTCATTAAGCAGAATTATACATGTAAGTACCAATTAATTACAGAAAATATCCGATTCGAATAGGTGCCTATTACCTAATTGTAAATAATGGAAAGAAAGTAATTAAGCTAATTTACTCTGCCTATTGTCCACCGGTTTAAAAATAAACCCATTAATGCCTCCACTTTGATATTTTTGGATTGAACAAACTCTTCAAAGTCGAAGTTTTTCATAATAATTTGGAGCAAGATTGCAAAACTTTTCTCCCAAGGGCGGGGTGTGGGCTGTGGGCACCTTGGCAATGTCGTCGGGTCGTTCACACCACGTCCCTTTGCCCCATAAGAATTTGATACCTTTTTGTGGATCTCGCCCACATTAGATTAATTCAAGATTTGCGTAAGAGGTAATAGAATTGTGTTTTTTCAACAACAATAGTGAGAAATAGGCTTAATATTTTTTGTTTCCAAGAAACATGTAGTATTATTAGATAGATTTGAACTCCAGTAGATATAAGATAGGTTTTAAGCTGTGCTTTTATTTTAATATGAGTGGTACAGACTGATGCTGTAGCATACTGTTGCAACACTTGCAACTTATCTACTAAATATTTCCGATGCAACATGAGCCGATATACCTGACCCTAACCCAATAAAATTTTTTTTCTAACTAAGACCTTAGACATAGGAAAAAAATACAGTAGGTTTTCATCAATCCTTTTGGTTTTTCATAAAAGTGCGAATTAGGATAGGTATACTAAAAACAGACTCTACTTATTTTGCTATTTGCACAATATCCTTATGACCTGATATAAGTTATTTTTAATTAATGATCCTTTTATTAGCTATCCATTTTGCTAGTGCAACTCTTAGGCCCGGCTTCCAAGGCAGAGCGGAGAAATGTTTTAAATAACCAAGCAGAATTAATTCAGTCAATTTCTTTCTTTCTTTTAAATCTGAATAATATATAATAATAATAATAATAATAATTTTTTATTTCGGAAAAAAAANAAATAGGCTAAATATTTTTTGTTTTCAAGAAACATGTAGTATTATTAGATAGATTTGAACTCCAGTAGATATAAGATAGGTTAAGCTGTGCTTTTATTTTAATCTGAGTGGTACAGCCTGATGCTGTAGCATACTGTTGCAACACTTGCAACTTATCTACTAAATATTTCCGATGCAACATGAGCCGATAGGCCTGACCCTAACCCTGTAAAAAAAATTCCTAACTAAGAATAGGGAAAAAAATACAGTAGGTTTTCATCAATCCTTTTGGTTTTTCACAAAAGTGCGAATTAGGATATGCTTAAAACAGACTACTTATTTTGCTATTTGCACAATATCCTTATGAGCTGATGTAAGTTATTTTTAATTAATGCTCCTTTTATTAGCTAGCCATTTTTCTAGTGCAACTCTTAGGCCCGGTTTCCAAGGCGGAGTGGAAAAATGTTTTAAATAACCAAGCAGATTTAATTCAGTCAATTTCATTAAATCTTAATAATATCTGATTGGTTGTTCAAAACATTCCTCTCTGCTCCGTCTTGGTGGAAACCGTCCCTTGAACAAGAAATATTAAAACTGCGACTCATTCTCTGCATTTTCCAGGCCCCATTGCAAATTTTCCCGGCACGCGCCACCAACGCACCGTATCCATAGCTCGTCCGTGCATCACCGACTGCCACAGATTAATTACAAATACGGGCAATGCTCCGGCATTATAAGCGAATGCAATAGCGCAAAACATCGCGCTTCCGGACGCTGCAAAAACGGCGCGCGCCGCCCGCGCTCCGTGACGCGTTTTTCTGTTTAATTGGAACTTGCGCACGCGACTGCATGAAGGTGTTACACACTTGTTTGCTGGGCTATTGATAATCAGCTTGTTTTCAATGGCCGGCAAATTGATAGGGTACAGTTTGTGTTCTGATCTGTGATCTGGTACAATGAGGTTTTTTACTTTGCCCTAGGTATCTAAAGTCAGCTGTTTTCTGTTGTTTAGTTTAAAAAGCCTTAAAACAAGAGATACATAATTAAAATAGCTATAAATGGCATCATTGTTCTATTTACGTTTGTTGTTTAAGACTTTGATTGAAGCTACGGCTACGGTCTACGAAGCGATCTACGGTATGCTACGAAGCTCGTAATGGTTCTTCCATTTCACGATTTTAATATTTGACAGTAGCTTAATAGCAGCTTTTGCAACAGCAAACGATCAGTAATTTTATATTTATTTTATTTTTACAAGTTTATCAAGTAAGTACGAGTAAAATTGCGGACTCTATCTATATCTCTTATTTTAGATTTATGTTTAACTAGCTTTCCGCCCGCGGCTTCGCCCGCGTGGAATTTTGTCTGTCACAGAAAAACTTTATTGCGCGCGTCCTTGTTTCAAAAACCGGGACAAAAACTATCCTATGTCCTGTTCCGGGACTCAAACTATTTCTATGCCAATTCTCATCAAAAGCGGTTCAGTGGTTTAGGCGTGAAAGCAAGACGGACAGCCAGACAGAGTTACTTTCGCATTATTAATATTAGTATAGATTATTAAAAAGTACAACGCACTGAAATCATTTAGAGTCATGTAATGTAAAGGCACCTTAACAATCATATGTGTAAATGAGCGATGGCCAGCCTCTGATGATGCGAGAAGAAAGCACCGAGCGGATCGAAATCAATATGGTCATTGGGAATTGTTATTTCAGCCTACGGTAGCCTTTAGTAAGCCGTTGTGGTATTGTATGGGCTGAGTGTGATTTACGTCAAACGTCCTCGCTAGGAGCTCTGTGCAATTCGTCGTACATTAATTTATTGACATTTTTTACGCGCTCACTAGTGACAACGTTTGATGTAAACACATAAGACCTCAGACTATAGCACATCATAAAATAAATAAGTCATATTGCAATAACATAATAAGATCCCTCCCACAGTGGTTAGCTTTATATGCTGTTGTCTGTACAGCCGACGGCACATTAAGCTAAATAAGTGGCTTCTTTGCAATCGTAATAGCTGATATTTTGCAATAAAATATTGGCATGATATTATTAAGCTGTCGACTCTACAACTCTACATTAGGTTTTAAGTAGGGTTAAGTGGTTGTGAATGGCCCATAACCATTTCAGTTTACCTTTTAATCTATGAACATCACTAAAATGACTATGATGTTCATTGAAAAGCAAACATTTTTAACCGACTTCACCGAAAATAAAAAATTCGCTTAGTATTTTTTTATTTTCATAATATGAACTCTTCTTAGCATAAAAATCTGTACCAGTTACACAATTCATTTGATCTTTGGCAGAAAGATAATTCGTGGAAATCTCTGAAAACTTTGTAACTGAAATCTTTT